ACATAACCATAATAAATATTTATACACCCAACGACAAGGCTCCAAAATACATAAACTCTAACAGCACTGAAAAGAGAGATAGACAGCTCGACAATAATAATAGGAGACTTCAACACACCACTTTCAGTGAAGGACAGAACATGCAGAAAGAAGCTCAGTAAAGACACAGAAGATCTAAATGCCACAAAAAACCAACTTTGTCTCATAGACATATACTGAACACTCCGCCCAACAGCAGCCAAGTATACTTTCTTTTCCAACACATATGGAACATTCTCCAGAATAGACCACGTATTAGGCCACAAAGCAAGCCTTAACAGAATCCAAAGCATTGAAATATTACAAAGCATCTTTTCTGATCATAAAGACATAAAAGTAGAAATCAATAACAGGAAAAGCAAGGAAAAAAAATCAAATACATGGAAACTAAACAACACCTTGCTTAAAAACTACTGGGTTATAGAAGAAATTACAGATGGAATAAAGAAATTACAGAATCAAATGAGAATGAAAACACATCCTACCAGAACCTTTAGGACACAGCAAAAGCAGTGCTTAGAGGTCAATTTATAGCAATAAATACACACATCCAAAAGAAGTAAGGGCCAGAATCAAAACGTTAACCCTACAACTCAAACAAATAGAAAGAGAGCAGCAAAAGAAGCCCACGGAAACTAGAAGAATGCAAATAATAAAAATCAGAGCAGAATTAAATGAAATAGAGAATAGAAAAACAATTGAAAGAGTTAACAAGATGAAAAGCCGCGTCTTTGAAAAGATCAACAAAATCAATAAACCACTGGCCAGTCTGACAAAAGAAAAACAGGAGAGGAAGCAAATAACCTGAATAAGAAATGAGATGGGCAATATCACAACAGATGCTGAAATTAAAAGAATCATAACAGAATACTATGAAAAATTTTATTCCAACACATTTGAAAACCTAAAGGAAATGGACAAATTTCTAGAAACACACTACCTACCTAAACTAACGCAAACAGAGGTAGAACAACTAAGTAAACCTATAACAAAAGAAGAGATTGAAAATGCAATTAAAAACTCCCCACAAAAAAAAGCTCCGGCCCTGACAGCTTTACTGGAAAATTCTATTAAACTTTCAGAGAAGAATTAACACAAGTACTACTAAAAGGATTTCAGAGCATAGAAAAGGAAGGAATACTCCCAAACTCATAACCTTGATACCAAAACCAGGTAAAGACACCCACAAAAAAAGAAAATTACAGATCAATATTCCTCATGAACATAGACACAAAAATCCTCAACAAAATTCTAGCCAATAGAATTCAACAACATATCAAAAAAATAATTCACCATGACCAAGTGGGATTCGTACCAGGTATGCCGGGATGGTTCAACATTAGAAAAACAATCAATGTAATACATCACATAAATAAAACAAAAGACAAGAACCACATGATCTTATCAATTGATGCAGAAAAGGCATTTGACAAAGTCCAACACCGACTTATAAGAAAAACTCTTAGCAAAATAGGAATAAAGGGAAATTCCTCAACATGATAAAAGGCATTTACACAAAGCCAACAGCCAACATCATTCTAAATGGAGAGAGTCTGAAAGCATTCCGCTTGAGAACAGGAACCCGACAAGGATGCTCTTTATCACTACTCTTATTCGACATAGTGCTGAAGGTCCTAGCCAGAGCAATTAGGCTAGAAAAAGAAATAAGGGCATCCAAATTGGTAAAGAAGAAGTAAAAGTATCTCTATTTGCAGATGATATGATCTTATACACAGAAAACCCCAAAGAATCCACAAGGAAACTACTGGAACTAATAGAAGATTTCAGCAAAGTATCAGGATACAAAGTAAACATAGAAAAGTCAGTTGGATTCCTCAACACCAACAAAGAGAGCTTTGAAGTGGAAATCACCAAATCAATACCATTTATAATAGCCCCCAAGAAGATAAAATACTTGGGAGTAAATCTAAGCAGAGACATAAAAGACCTGTACAAAGAAAACTACAAGACACTACTTCAAGAAACCAAAAGAGACCCGCATAAATGGAAAAACATACCTTGTTCATGGATAGGAAGACTCAACATTTTAAAGATGTCACTTCTACCCGAAGTGATCTACAGGTACAATGTGATCCCGATCCAAATTCCACTGGCATTTTTTTTAATGAGATAGAGAAGCAAATCACCAGCTTCATATGGAAAGGGAAGACGCCCCAGATAAGTAAAGCATTACTGAAGAAGAACAAAGTGGAAAGCATCACACTACCTGATTTTAGAACCTATTATACGGCCATGGTAGTCAAAACAGCCTAGTACTGATACAACAACAGATACATAAACCAATGGAACACAATTGAGAATCCAGATGTAAATTCATCCACTGTGAGCAGCTAATATTTGACAAAGGCCCAAGTCTGTTAAATGGGGAAAAGACAGTTTCTTTAACAAATGATGCTGGCATAAGTGGATATCCATTTGCAAAAAAAAGAAACAAGACCCATACCTCATACCATGCACAAAAACTAACTCAAAATGGATCAAAGACCTCAATATAAAGTCTAAAACAATAAAGATCATGGAAGAAAAGATAGAGACAACACTTGGAGCCCTAATTCATGGCATAAACAGAATACAAACCGTAAGAAACAATGCAAAAACACCAGAACAGAAACTAGATAACTGGGAGCTCCTAAAAATCAGACACTTACATTCATCAAAAGACTTCACCAAAAGAGTAAAAAGATAACCTACAGACTGGGAAAAAATTCTTGGGTACGACAAATCTGATCAGCGTCTAATCTTTAAAATCTATAAGATACTGCAAAATTTCAACAACAAAAGGACAAATAACCCAACTAAAAAATGGGCAAAGGATAAGAACAGGTACTTCACCAAAGAAGACATTCAGGCGGCTACCAGATACATGAGGAAATGCTCATGATCATTAGCCATTAGAGAAATGCAAATCAAAACTACAATGAGATACCATCTCACCCCATCAAGGCTAGCATTAATCCAAAAAACACAAAATAATAAATGCTGGAGAGGTTGTGGAGAGACTGGAACACATACACTGTTGGTGGGAATGTAAAATGGTACAACCACTTTGGAAATTGATTTGGCACTTCCTTAGAAAGATAGAAATAGAAGTACCATATGATCTAGCAATCCCACTCCTTGGACTATATCCTAGAGAAATAAGAGTTGTCACACAAATAGATATATGCACACCCATGTTCATTGCAGCACTGTTCACAATAGCAAAAAGATGGGGAAAACCTAGGTTCCCACCAACGGACAAATGGATGAATTATGGTATATTCACACAATGGAATGCTATGCAATGATAAAAGACAACGATGAATCCGTGAAACCTCTCATAGCATGGATGAATCTGGAAGGCATTAGGCTGAGTGAAATTAGTCAGTCGCAAAAGGACAAATATTGTATGAGACCACTATTATAAGAACTCAAGAAAAGGTTTAAACACAGAAGAAAACATTCTTTGATGGTTACGAGTGTGGAGAGGGAGGGAGACGGGTATTCATTAACTAGATAGTAGACAAGAATTAGGTGAAGGGAAGGATGACACACGATACAGGGGAAGTCAGCACAACTGAACTAAACCAAAACTAAGAAGTTTACTGAATACAATCAAACACTTCGAGGGACAGAGTATCAGGGGCAGGGTTCTGGGGACCATGGTTTCAGGGGACATCTAGGTCAATTGGTATAACAAAGTTTATGAAGAAAGTATTCTGTGTCCCATTTTGGTGAGTGGCTTCTGGGGTCTTAAAAGCTAGCGAGCAGCCATCTAAGATGCATCAATTGGTCTCAACCCACCTGGAGTGAAGGAGAATGAAGAACACCAAAGACGCAAGGAAAACATTAGCCCAAGAGACAAAAAGGGCCACATAAACCAGAGACTCTATCAGCCTGAGACCCGAAGAACTGGATGGTGCCCGGCTACCACCAGTTTCCAAGCTGACACACAGCAGAGAGTCCCTGATGGAGCAGGAGAAAAGTGGGGTGCAGAACTCAAATTCTGGTAACAAGACCAGATTTAATGGCCTGAATGAGACTGGAGGAACCTCAGAAGACATGACCCCAAGACTCTCTGTTAACTCAGATCTAAAACCATTCCCAAGGCCAACTCTTCAGACAAAGATTAGATTGGACCATAAGACATAAAATGATACTTGTGAAGAGTGTGCTTCTTAGTTTAAGTAGATACATGAGATTAGATGGGCAGCTCCTGTCTGGAGGCAAGATGAAAAGGCAGAAAGGGACAGGAGCTGGTTGAATGGACACGGGAAATCTGGGGTGGAAAGGAGGAGTGTGCTGTCACGTTATAGGGACAGCAACTAGGGTCACGTAACAATGTGTATAAATTTTTGTATGGGAAGCTAACTTGAGTTGTAAACTTTCCTTAAAGTACAAAAAATAAAATGGAAGAATTAGAGGACAACATTAAGGAAATGTTCCAGAAAATATAGCAAAAAGCTAAGAGTTGTACACTAGAAGAGAAAAAATTATTTGAGGATTATTCCAGGAGATACAGCATAAAAATAATAGGAATTACAGAGAGAAAGAAAAAATTAGAAAAGAGAAAATTATAATAATATGAATAAATTTCCCACACCTGAGTGACACAAGTGTCCAGATTGAAAAAGTATACCAGGTCCCCAGCAAAAATGAATAAAAGAATTAATAAATAAATACATCAAATTGTATCATCATGAAATCCCACAATATCAGAGACAAAAGGAAATCTTAAAAGTTCCTAAAAATTAAAAACAGAACATTGAAAAGATTGAAAACCAGAATGGCATCAACTTTCTGAATAACAACAGTGAAGCAACATCTTCTAACTAAAAAGGATTTTCCACCTAGAATCCTATTATTCCCTGGCAAACTATTATTTAGATGTGTAAGTAAAGTAAAAATATTTCCAGATATGCAAGGTCTCAAAAATTCATCTCCCATGTGCTCTTTTTCAGAAAGCTATTGGAGGAGATAACAAGGAGCTAAGCTAAATCAAAGACAAGGAAGTTACAGACTCTGGAATCGAGTAAGTAGATCCTGTATAGGAAAGGAGTAAAAGTGATTCCACGAAAAGCAAAGAAAAGTTACAGAGTAGCAGCTGTACAGCAGGCTTAAAGAGTAACCAGTCCAGAATGCAGCAGCCAGATGAAAATTAAATCTGACCATATAGAAAATGGAATTGAGAGACTACTGTAGGGTGAAGAAAAACTTATCAACAAGTGCAGTAGTACCTAGGCAAATGAAAATAGCATTTTAGTACTATTACACTTGAAAAAAAAACTATATAGCTATGTCACTTTCATTTATAACTGTAATTGAAAAGACAGCCTGTAAAATGGAAGAAAATATTGGCAAATGACATATCTGGTAAGTGTCTAGAGTCCAGAATGTATAAAGAACACTTACAACTCAATAACAAAAAGACAAACAACCCAATTTAAAAAATGGACAAAGGATTTAAGTAGACATTTTCCCAAAGATATGTAAGTGGCCAATAAGTACAAGAAAAAAAAAAATAACATCGTTTATCATCAGGGAAATGCAAATCAAAACCACAATGAGGTGCCACTTTAGACCCACTATGATGGCTGTAATAAAAAAGATGGAAAATAACAAGTGTTGATAAAAAATGTGGAGAAATTAGAACTCTTCTACATTGCTGTTGGGAATGTAATATGTACAGTAGTTTGGAAAACAGTTTAAGACTTCCTCAAAATGTTAAACATAGAGTTTCCATATGACCCAGCAATTCCACTCCTATGTATATATCCAAGAGAATTGAAAACATATGTCCACACAGAAACTTGTATATGAATGTTCATAGCAGCATTATTCCTAATACCGAAAAATTAGAAGCAACCCAAGTATCTACCAACTGAAAAACGAATAAACAAAATGTGGTATATCCATGCAATGGAATATTATTCAGCCATAAAAAGGAATAAAGTGCTCGTACATACTACGACATAGTTGAACCTTGAAAAGACTATGTTAAGTAAACAAAGCCAGACATAAAAGGCACGTTTTGGCTTTTCTTTTGGGTATGATGAAATATTCTGGAATTAGATAGTGGTGATGGTTGCACAGTGTTATAAATATACTAGAAATTACTGAATTGTACACTTTAAAAGGGTGAATTTTATGGTATGTGAATCATGTCTCAAAAAATAAATAATTACCAATACTTCACATTATCTGCAAGCATTGTCACAGGTATTTTTTGTTGTTGTTGTTTATTTTTGCTTTTTATCCTGGTTGAAGATGTTAACTGTTAATGGAGAGAGATTCCTTTTAAGAAAAGCTCTTTGGAGGCAGAATTATAAAAACTCAAGATGATAGAAACTGGCAGTTACTTGAAGGGCAGGTTAGGCTAAGGATTCAACAGCAACAAAAGACCAGAGGCCAACTGGAGTAATAGATAAATAAAACACAGATGAGTGTGAAAAGTGCAAACTAATTCTATAGAATATAGAGTCCAAATAAATTAATGAGTAGTTATCCACAGGTTATTAAAAACAAAACTAGAAACACTTATCAGACACTCAATTTGCATAGCATTATTCTAAGCCCTTTCTTTACTTTAAAATTGCTTTTAATAAATACTAAGTAGATTCAGAGTATATTTATAAGCACCTCTGGGTAGACTCCAACTACCAACCTTTTGGTTAGTAGCAGAGCACGTTAATCATTTGCACCACCCCATTTGTAAGATATAAAAAATAACAGTACAACAAATACCCGTGAGCCTGTCATCAAGTCTCTATACGTTTTTTAATGTGTTTAAACATTTATTAAGAACAAATGATACACAAGGCAATGTGCTCTATGTTGAGGTAAGGGTAGAGAAGATAAAGCATGGGAGTCAATTTCATGTAAACACTTAAACAAATCCTGTCTTGTTTGAGTCCCTGTCCCTATTAACCACTCAATTACTGCAAACTTTAGGAATTAAAGGATATGTTTGCAATCCCCAAAATTTGTTCAGCCCTCAGCAACAAAATGTATAGACAGTTTCTAATTAGATATCTAACTCCTATGCAAAATCTGTTCTTGATACATATTCTTAATATTGTATATTCAAAATGTACAATAAACAAACAATTATTGACAATTTGCTGTCCAATAAGAGAGATGCTTGTGTGGGAATACCTTGACATTTATTCTGTCCTTGGGAAGCTTGCAATCTAGTTGAAGAGGAAAGACATGTAAAAAGTTAAATAATAAAGCTATGAACAACACTTCAAAACAATACACAGAGATTTTACAAGGCATTGCAAAACCAGTTGCCAAATAAGTACAAAGACAATTACCTCTGTAAAAGATTAGAGGAGAGAGAGGTTACCTCATGATGCATTATTTTTATGACAAGGGTAAAATCTCAGTTGCATCTTGGCAGACAGATTTCAACAGATGAAAGGAGAGGAGAAAAAGCTAAAGGTACTGAGACTGCTACAAAAACATTGTAATAACTACAAACTACCAGTGTCAATCTATACCTTCAACCCTTCTGAAAATTACTTCTGTTGGGACTCTGTCTTTGGACTGAAAGTGCCAGCATTGAGTGGTGAAAATTCTCATTATTTTCATCAACAAGACATTTCCATATCACTAATCCTAACATGTTTTCCTGGCTTCACCTGACATGCTAACTGTTCTTTCTATTGCTCGATCTGAGACTATTCAAGGTCAGCATGCAAACTGTATTTACAGAGGAGGCTTGCAAGGACATCTATATTGCAGCTGTAGTCTAATACAGATAACAGAGATGACAACAGGATTGACATATGCCCTTTGTCTGCAACCCACTAGTGCCTGATTAGGAAAAAAAAATGAAGACACAGCTTGTTTGCTATGTTATCCATTTACTACATTATCAGTTAGGAATCTTTCAGCTGGAAGAAACAGAAAACCCAACTCTAAAGAGTTTAAACAATAGGGCAAACCACATACAAGTCCCAAGCTAGGCCAACTACAGGGTTAATTCCCATCCAACAATGTCATCAGGAGTCCCTAGGTGGTGCAAATGGTTAGGTGCTTGACTACTAGCCGAAAGGTTAGTCATTCGAATCCACCCAGAGGTGCCTTGGAAGACAGGCCTGGTAATCTGCTTCTGAAAGTTCACAGCCTTGAAAACCTTATGGAGCACAGTACTACTGTACACACATGGGGTCCCGATGAGTCGGTATCGACTTGACAGCAACTAACAACAGTGCCATCAAGGTCCAGCTTTTTGTCTTTCTGCTGTAGCTTTCTCAGTATATTGACTTTGCCCTTAAATTCTGGCTTCTCTAATAATCACAAGATGGCTGCCATAGTTCGAGTTGACACATGTAGACACTATTCAGTCCAGAGAAGATGCTTTTATGTGTCTCTATTTATAAATGAAAAAAATTTTTGTAGTATCCTTCCAGCAGACTACTCCTTACATCTCCTTGGCCGGAGTTGTGCCTCCTAAATCTGTCACTGACAAGAAGAATGGATTACTATGACTGGAATATGGAAGTATATGGCTACATGGAGAAAGATGGATTATTGCAATAAAATTGTAATTTTGTTATAAGGAGAAAAAGATGGAAATGATGTTTGACACCCCACCACCAATACTCACTACACTAACACACCAGCTCATGACTGAGTGTGATCTACCCTGACACATTCATTTGTTCATTTATTCATTCTACTTTTGCCTACTGTGTGCCAGGCACTATGTTTTCATACGGAAATATAAAAGAGAAAAAAAAAATTGGTCATTGAGTTTGAGTTTACATCAATCTATTGGTGAGACAGATGTATAAAAACTAAGTCAAAATACAGTAGGAGAGAGGCTGGCACATTAAAACTCTATTTGAAGAGTATATTATGGTCTATAGACTGAAGAGATCATGTATATATATTATATTTCATCCACTGCCTTGAAAACATTAAGATATGGGTGAATTTTAAATGTCTCCTCCAAGAAGAACAGGATTTATCTCCTAATTTGATGAGTTTTTCTATTTGTATTTTGTTATATCCAAAGCCCCAAAGAAGAACCACTGTTGATAATAAGATTTTTTACTACCATATCATATCAATCTGGAGCTCAGGACACAGGTCTGAGCTATAGATAAGGACATGGGAGTCATCAGCTTACAGGTGGCATTTGTAGTCATGAGGATGGATGTGATCACCTAAGTAGAGTGTAGACTGAGAAGGCCAGGAAACAACCCTATGGAACAGCAATATTTAAAGTCAGGCAGATAAAGTAACCTGTGAAGAAATATCAGAAAAATAGGAGGAGAAAGAGTGGTGACAAGAAAGCCAGGGGAAGAGAACAGGACATTAAGCAAATGGGCACAAGGGATCTTTTTGGGAATATAGAAATGTCAAAGATATGATATAGGCTTGCTATGAGTCAGAATGGACCCCTGATGGCGTAGTGGTTAAGAGTTAGGCCGCTACCCAAAAAGTCAGCAGTATGAATCCACCAGCCGCTCCTTGCAAAGGCTTTGGGGCAGTTCTGCCCTATAGTGTTGCTATGAGTCTGAATCAACTTGATGGCAATGGGTTTATGTGTCAGAATGGACTCAATGGCAATGGGTTGGTGACCTGGTCTAGAGAAATTTCAGTGGAATGATGGAGACGGAAGCCAGATTTGGATTTAGGAGCAAACGGGAGATGAAGAAATGGAGGCAAGTGAAGACTCCTCCATTTAAGGAATTTGACTCTGAAGGGAAAAAGAGAAAAAAAATAGTACCTGAAGAGGCATTTCAAGTTAAAAGAAGGGACAGAGATGGTGAGTGTTATGGATTGAATTGTGTCCCCAAAAAATATGTGTTGTAAATCCTAACTCTTCTACCTGTGATTGGAGCCCTGGTGGTGCAGTGGTTAAGAGCTCGCCTGCTAACCAAAAGGTTGGCAGTTCAAATCCACCAGCTGCTCCTTGGAAATCCTATAGGACAGTTCTACTCTGTCCTGTAGGGTCACTATGAGTCGAAATGGACTTGATGGCAAGTCCTGTGGATATAATATATAACTTATGGTTATATATTATATGCCTGTGGTTATGATCCCATTTGGGAATGGATTTTCTTTGTTATGTTAATGAGGCAGTATTCATCTAGGGTGTGTCTTAAGTCGATCTCTTTTGAGATACAAAAAGCTGATTAAGCAAGTGACTAAGCAAGCAAGCACAGTTGGGGGAAGGTAGATGCCATGCTGCATGAGATCTCCAAGGAACCAAGAAAGAAGCGAGAGAGACTTCCCCTAGAGCTGATGCCCTGAATTTGGACTTCCAGCCTCCATAACAGTGAGAAAATAAATTTCTGTTTGTTAAAGCCACCCACTTGTGGTTTTTCTGCTATAGCAGCACTAAACTAAGACAGTTTAGTTTTAGACATATTCCATTTGAAACCAGAATCCAAATAGTTAAGGGTAGATCATTATTACTTTTTGTTTTAGAAGTAGGAATTGCTGCAGATTAGTCCAAGGTTCCACAATAGGCGGACCTGGGGAGAAGCTAGAAAGAGAGCAATGGAAAAGTCTGCTCTTTGGTCTCTAGGCAAACTCCATTTCTCAGAATTCCTGAGCCCAGAGAATATTCATAGGGTTTCTTCATCTCTGTTCACTTCTAGGCATATAAACATCAACTGATTCTTTAATATATATAATGAAGAATGTCTCTCCACGCTCCCATTTGCTTCATTATCAGGAAGTTTTTCCTAATGTGTAACCCAA